ATCACCCCGTGTTCCGCAGCGCCTGGAGCAGCAGCTGGGTACCAGTGCACCAGGGCCCGTGTGTGTTCGGCACAAGCCCCCCGCGGGGCGCGGGGCAGGGGCCAGCAGCATGCCGCCCTCAGGGCGAGGGGCCACCGGCAGCCCCCGCAATGTGCTACGCAATTGCAAACAAGTGGGGAAATCGGTGTTGCTTAGCAATTTGCTGCAGCACGCTCGAGGACTGTGGAATGGGCAAAAGCTTTGTCAGGAGCCACAACATTATTATTATTACTATTTAAAGAGCATTCCAGATGCGCATGGCACTTTACGGACAAAAATAATGGATGATCCTTGCCCGCCAAAGCTGAAATAATAGCACAAACCCAGCCCTAGACAACAATGAGGAGAACAATCCCAGCAGCAACAGCGTCCGTGAAAGAGCACGGGCTGCACCCGTTATCACATCTGCTCTTGCACTTGACCTGCACCGACTGCAGTCACGGCAAGATTTTTTCTCTGATTTTCACTGAACGCTCCAACGGCAAGGACAGCATACCGGTTTGAATTATTTTATGTCTCTCTCTCTCAAGCTGAAGATGGTGCCCGGGCAGTAGTTGTCACCGTGCCGGACGCATCAATGCCGTGCGTGGAAAAGCCTCCCATGGAGGGACAGACCCCGTGGGGCTGTGGCAGCACCAGTGGGGCAGGCAGGGCGAGGGCAGCCCACGCTGCCCACTCGTCCCAGGCGAGGATGCCGGCGCACCCCAACGCCCGCACGACTGGCAAACCCTGCCCCAGATATTCACCTGAGGATGCTGTTATCGTGGCAGTCGGCGAGTTTTGCAGCTTTCCGTGGGAATCATGGCATATTCCCAGGGACTAATTAACTGCTCGCGCACTTTGGGATCAGCATCGTGCCAGGGCGACCCTCCGCAGCCCTGCCGGGGCTTTGCTGACCACGCCTGCCCCCCTTCACAATAGATGGGTTTTTTTGCACTCTTACACTGACTAGAATTATTTCAACAGTGGTTTAGTATTTATGGTCTTGAATATTAAT